TGCTAGTTGAATTAAAAGATATATATATAATCATGCATTTTCTTTTACAAGTAAAAAATATAATGTGAATTTTTCTACTGATAAAGAACTCCTCCAATAATTTACCATCAGCTATTCCGATCTTAGAAACAAAGTTTATTAGTAAAGAATTATATTATTTACTAAGGAATTATACAATTGAGATGTGGATTGACCTTGTTTCCAATGTCCATGCCTCACCAGCCCAATGATGTAATATTATTTCCAAAAACCAAATGGTGGCTTCTTGTTTATGTTTTATTGAAATTACAATAATTTGTTGTAACATGAGTAAGAATTGAAGGCGTAACTTTCAACGAGTAATTTTAAAAATTAAAGAATGATCTACAAAAATAATTAATATAGCGTAACAATAGACAAATTTAATTGACAACAAACAACTTGGGAAAAAGAAAATAATAATTGATGACAAACAATAATTTATTATATTTATTTATTATTAATATTTTAACAATATACAACATAATTAATCAAGGTCCATAGTTTTACTGCTACCACCATTATTATTATTATTATTATTATTATTATTATCATTGTCATTGTCATCACTACTGTTATCATCATCACCACCATTATCATCATTACCATTATCATCAACACCATTATCATTACCACCATTATCATCACCACCATTACCATTATTATCATCATCACTACTATCATGGTGATCATCATTATTTCCACCACCTCTACCACCACCAGTATTATCATCATTATTATCAAGACCAGCACCACCGCCACCAGGAAGAACATAGCTGTTGATAAATATGTTATTTTGGGCAGGGCTGTGGAAATTGTAGTGAACCACTGATTGTGGTTGCTGGTTTTGTTGTTGCTGGTTTTGTTGTTGCTGATTTTGTTGCTGATTTTGTTGATTTTGTTGTTGTTGAGCATTGTCATTTGATTTCATAGCAATTTTTACGAGTAAAAGGCTAGGTATTTTTTCAGGTATAGTAGTTTTATAATAT